TACAAAGTTATGTGAATCTAAAATAGAATATTTGAATATTATTTTGCTAAGACAGATAGTAATGATTTTTGTAAAAATTTTTCGAGTGTGTTTAAGGAGTGTTATAGGTCTGGTATAGTTAAGTTGGCCTGTAAAGGTTGGTTTTTTTGATATTGGATATATTTTGCTTTGTTTTTAGGCAGTAGGAATATCTGCAATGTTTAAGCATAAATTGAATAGGATTGTTAAAAGTTTAATAATATGAGGGTGGGTATGTTTGAGCATTTCATTAGTGATAAGTGTAGGTCCTGGTGCTTTGCTATTAGGTGAGACATTTAATGTATTGATTATTTCTTGTTGAGTTATTAGATTTGTTAATGTGTTATACCATGCTAGAAGTATGTTTGCTTTGGGATTATATTTACCTTTCCATTGTTTCCAAAGAGTTGGGTTATATGGATTGTGTTTGGTCCAGTTTGTAAAATGATCTTTGATGTATTGATGGATCTCTTGTGATTTAGTTATTATAGAGTTAGGGAGTTTTATGTTGTCAAATTGTACAGTGTTAGTATGTCTATTGAGTACACTGTTGATCATTACTGTGATATTTAATGTAAAGTTGTTGTAGCATTTTTCAACCTGTTGGGTAATGTGTTAAGATAGTGCATGTTTGTTTTCACTTTCCTAAGTATGATATAATGTTTTGTGATGCTCTTTTATTGTATTAATAGTATTAGAAAGTTGGCTATTGTCAATGTCTGGCAGAGTAAGAGGTGTAATAGATATGTTAGTAAGTGATTGGATTGTTTAGTTGTGTGGTAATTGTTTTATTGGCATTATTAGTATTAGTATGAAGGTTAACAAGAGTGCAGAGTATGCTACCACAAATGTTTAGTGCTGTATGGGTTTTTGAGGCAGTAGGTGAGAAGTTCTGAAATTGTTTTTGTAATTGGAAGGTGAAGAGTATATGTGTATTGGCTGCAGTAAATACTGAATATTGGATCTGGTACCAAAGTTGATTAACAGTTAGTGTAAATGCTATTGTTTCTGTAGTTGAGGATAATAGTTAATAACTTGTTTGTTGAAAAAGTTCCCAGAGTTTTTTTGTCATAGTATCATATTTGAATGTTTTGTATTTGTATTTTTTGTGTTGTTTAGTTGGTTTAGTATGTATTTGAATGTTAGTACAGATAATATGATGGTTACTATCAATAATGTCAGTTGCATAAGTAATAGTAGGTATTGTGTATATATGTAGGATTTGTTGTGAAACCCAGATCTCATTGATTTGACTAGAAAGCTGATTACATTGCCAAGTAGAAGTTTGTAGATGATAAGTATGTATTAGTGGAGTAAAGTTATATGATATAAGGTATTTGTATAGTATAGAATGCTGTGGCCTATTAAGGTCTTGGTTAAAGTCTCCCATAATTACTGGAATAATATTAAGTTGTTGTGCTTGTGTGATCCAAAGAATAATTTGGTTTTGTGTTTGTTTATTCATATTAAAGTTATTAGGTAGGTAGGTAGAGATAATATGAAAGTTGTTTTTGTATGGTAAATAAAAATTAATTGCTATGGCAGTGCCTTGAAGAGTTTGGATATTATAAATGTAGGTTGTAAGTGATTGGTTTATAAGGATTATTGTTCCTGCACTGGACTCTTTTGGATGTTGAGGGTTAGTAGTATTGTTGTTTGACATAAAGCATTTGTAATTATTATTATAAAGTGTGTGATGAATATATTGGGAGTATGCCAGCTTTGTTTCAGTAAGTGATATAATATCAAACTGTTGGCTAATGCAATAATCTAGCCATAATTGTCTTTTGGTAATGTTATTGTATTCTTGGATATTGTGTGTTGCAATGTTTAGATATTGGAGTATGGGTTTGTTGTTAGGTTCAATAGTGTCATTCATTAACATAAAGTTACGAAGTGTCCATTGCCACTGTGTTAGTTGTAAGTGGCTCATTTGGTGTTATGGTAGGGGTGTAAATATTTCCCATATTGGTGTAGGTAATAATGGTAGGTTGAGTAAAAAGTCTGGAATTGTGCAAATAGTATAGTGTTGTCTAAGGATTTGCATTGTTGGTGTTATTTCTGATTGCAAGTTTATTGGAAGAGTGAGTTGTATATTATTCTGAGTTAATGCAGAGTTGACCTCTTCTATACTGTTAGGTAAAAGTAAAGTACTTGTGCAGTTTGGATAGATTTATTACTGTCAGCATTGTTTTCTTACTTTGCAGTTTGAACAATAGGATTTGTAATATTAAACTATAGTGGTGGTAATTGTTTGAAATAGAAGTGTTGATGGAGTGTTTTCACAATTTGTGTAAGTTGTTGAGATGTTGTAATAGGTAATATGATATTGAGTTTAGCAAGTTCTTGGCTGTCTGTTAGTAGGCCAGGTTTATCAGTAGGGTTTGCTTGCATTATATGATCAGATATTGGAAATTGAATGCAGTATTGTTGAGAAACTTCCTCAAGAAATTCTTTTACTATTGCATTATCAATTATTGGATAGGTATACTGTGAGCTAGTGCGAATAAGCTCTAGTTTGTTAGACAAAAGTGGTTTGGTAATAAAGTAATCATTAGAAAGTAATTTAAATATATAATACTCCTTTAGCTATGCAACTGCCTCAGCTAATAGTATTTTAAATATAGATGAGTTGAATGGGAAAAGTCTTCTGACTTTGTAATTAAGTTCCTAATATATAGTAGGCAATGGTTGTTTTGATGGTAGAAGTTGAAATTATGAATTTGGGATTATGGTAAAAGTATAGTAGTCAGCCAGTTTGTACCTAAAATATAAGAGATATTGTAATGATTGCCTGCTTGTAATTAGAAAATAAGTTTTCAATTCTGAAAGGAATTCTTGGTATCTTTTTGGCAATATTGGAAGTTTTGCAAAATAATTATCTATAAGCTTATCAAATTTGAAGATTTTTCTTAGTGTGTTGACAGTAGCTCTTATATATGATCTTTGTATAATTGGAAGTGTAAATGATAATATTTCTTGGATATGTCCAGGAATTTCATTAAGTTCTAGTAGTAAAGGTATAAGCTTTTCTTGAAGTGCACTATTAATTGTGGCTCGAATAGATGTAGGTGTTTGTTCATTCTTATTTTGGATTTGTAAGAAGCCTCTGGCATAGTAAATGGTCTTGTAGATCATAAAGGAGATGTAGTTGGCAAAGTTGGTATTTGAAAGGTATTGTGATATAAGCATTTGTTTTAGCATAGTATTTATAGTTTTCTGAGTAGCTGCATCTGTAATTGTAATTTGGTTAGTTTGTTTATAAGCAGCCAAAGCATTATTGTATAGGTTAGTATATTCTTTCTGATATGCTGGAGTAGTATTTGGATTTTTAGAAAGATGATAAAGAATCTAGTATCAAGATATTTGAATTTAAGAAATATTGCTAGTGGGATTGTGTGTTGAATTGGTGTAGTAATAAGTTTATGATTAATAAAATCATAGATTTCAGTTGGTATTAGAAGTGCCTCGGCTATTGCTTCATAGGTCCAGGTTTGTTGGTCAAATGGTGTATTAATTTTGTTAGTAATTTTGGCTTGCAGAATATTTGCCTATTCAGAGTTATCGATATGATGGAACTGAGGTATATTGAGCTGCTTTTGTGTAATTTGACTATAGGTTGGCTGTTAGTATTTTGTGTATCAGATATTGTAGTCATAGATGTTGGTGTTGATGTGGTAATGTTGTTGGAAGGTTCTGAATTGAGTAATCCTTCTGTATTAAGCAGTTGTAGTTTGGATCATTTTTTGCTTTTATGTTGGTTAATTGTTGCTTGTGTTGCTTTATCTGATGATTTGCTAATTCCTGTAGTTATTTGTTTGAGAATGAGGGCCGTTTGTTTCTTCTAGTATGAGTTTTGTGTTCAGGCTGTATAGTACTATTTGGTGTCTCTGTGGTGGGCTGAGTTTGTGTATTATTTACTATTGTGCCTGCAATAAAATCAAATGTTAGTTCATTCTCTTGTGTAAGATTACTTGTTTGTAATAGTTCTTCATCTGTATCTAGTTCTGTAATCATGTTGTAAGGTATTACTAGGAGGTCTTTACTATGTTTAGAGATCTTATATGCCTTCTGTGCTTTTTCGTATAACTGAATAATTAAGTTAAGATCACAACTTTATATAGTTCTGAAAAATTTGGCACTGATATTTACAGAGTTGTTTTTAGTAGTTGTGAAGTCAAAAAGTATTGATTGGGCAGCTTCTTTATGCTTGTACAACCATTGTATTGGAAAGGTAATGAGGTTGAAACACAACCAGATTTGGTAAGATCAACTGTAAAGAGATATTTGTCAGTAAAGTCAGAGACAAGGAAGATAACTGTAAAGATGAATTTAATAGGATCTTTTATATTAATACTAATAAATTCTTTTGTATATTCAGTAGGAGGATTAGTAGTAGTTGAAGTTGTAGGTAAAGAATTCTTTGGAATGACAGGTTTGCTAATAAAATAAGCTAATGAAAAAGAGAAAAAGGTGCTTTGAAAAGTTGTTTGGTTTGAAGTTTGTAGTAGATTGGTTTGTAAGTTTTCTACTGTTTTTTTGATGTTTTTTGGAGCTAACATCTTGTATCTATATGCTAAGTCAGTAAAAATGTAAAGGTCCTTAGGACTGTTTTCACTAAAATGTGAGTTGTTTTTTAGAGTTCTATTTTCGATGTTGTTGCTATTCAGGGTTGCTAGTAGGAGGTTTTATTAAGATTAACACCTCTTTTAGGTCAAGTTCAATGTTTAGAACAAGTTTAATTAAGGGCCCAAGGTCAGTTATTTAGTAGTTATTGCTGTATTCTTGCTAGAAAGTTTTTTGCTTTTTGTCTGATTTTGGTAAAATGATCTATGAAGAAGAGTTCTTAAGTGTCTGATTATCTTAAATACAATTAAATAAATAAATAAATAAATAAATAAACAATAAATAAAGTAAACATTAACTTATACACTGTTAGTATTTCATAGGTTATATATAACATTTAGCCAAAACTAGCAGCAATGTTCTTTGTTAGTTGGACAAATTTAATGGTCAAAGAACTACAAGACTTATGTATAACATGTAGGCTTTTCACTGGTAGCAATAAGGAAGAGTTAGGAGAAAGGTTGCAAGGATATTTTGAAAAGAAAAAAGAAAAGTTGTCAGAAACACATCAAAAAAAAAATAGTGTTGAATTGGAAGAGTCACCAGAGAGAAGAATAGATGAGCTTAATAGTGAAGTTTTTGCAGATGATAGGGTAATTAATCTCGAAGGTGATGTTTTGGAAATAGGTTTCCAGAAAGCTGATTATAGAATAGGTGAGGAATTTGCTGCACATTTTCAAAGTAAGGAAAGAATTGATGCAGTTCAAATTAACATATTTATGTTAGCTTTAAGCTAGATAGAGAAGAAGATGGATAGAAACTTTTCTGTTTTGCACAAGAAGATGGAAGAAGAAGAATTATTAGAAGAGTCATGGCCAGGAGTTAAATTATTGAAACCATGTGACCAGCATGAATATGACTTTTTAGCTAAAGTAGACAAATGGTTAGATAGAGTAATTTTAATATTATCAGTATTTGATAAGAAAGAGTTTACTGGAATTAGAGAGGAAATAGAAACCCATGCAGTAATGCTAAGGTTAGCTGATAATAAGAGCTAGAGTACTGTCTTGCAAATAGTTGGGAACAATAATAAAATGATAAAAAAGTATAAAGACTGAATTTTAGTTGTTAGTCAGCCATAGTCAGGGTCTTATTTTAGTAGATGAAAATATGGTAATAGGTCTAAATACAATCAGAATAAGCAAAAGAGAAGTAAAGACCATCTGTCAGCAACATCATCTGATTCAAAAGAAGATGACTTGTATAAGAAGACTAGGAAAAAGGAAAGAATGATTAATTTCTTTCTTAATAAAGGAGAGTATAGTTGGGCAGGATGCCAAGGTTTAGTTAAGTGCTTCAATTGTGAAGGAATCAGTCATATTACCTCAAATTGTTCTTTTACAAGTTCAAAAGCTTTCATTAAATCCGAAAATAGCAATTGACTACACTTAGGTCTCTTTAAAAGAAAATTTGACCAATATGAAAACAACAAATACATCAGATAGAGTAACAGTTGTGGGAAAAATGCAAACTATAGAGGTGCTAAATTACTGGAAAAACAAAATAGGCACCCCTCCAATAGTTATGAATTGGCTAATAAATGAGGTTCTCTTATTCCCAAGAGGTGTTTGGTACTTGCTATGCAACCAGTTCAAATTAGTATTTGTTAACAATAGAACAAAAAGAATAGGTAGAAAAAGAGATAAATCAGTTAATAAGAACATCAGCAATCAGTTGTTTAGGAGGCCAAGTAAGAAAACCCAAATATTTGTTAAAAGTAAGTCTAGTATTTTTGGTCCTAAAAAAAAATGCCAAGAAATAAAGACTAGTAATTGATTTAAGGAGATTGAATTCAATTCTGCCTAAAATAAAGGTTTGATTAGAAGGTTTAGAAGGTTTACTTCAGACAATAGGAAGGAAATAGTATATAATTATGTAAGACCTGAAAGAAGATTACCATCATGTTATGATGAGAGAAAATGCTCAGCATTTTCTAGGTTTCAGAGTGATGAACAGGTGGTATTACTATTGGGTTCTCCATTTTGGTCTCTCATAAGCAGTATGGATTTTCTTAAAAATTATGAGGTTAATAGTTGGACATTGAAGGTCACTGGGCCTATATTGTGGAAATTACTTGGATGATTTCTGATTAGCTTACTCTTCATCAGAAATTCTAATTATAATAAGAAATTAAATAATAAAAGTGAATATAGAAAAATGTGGCTTAGTAAGAGAAACATTAAAGAGTCAATAGACATCATTATAACAGATAAGGTTTTTCTAATTATTACTAGATATGGTGAAGGCAGAGGTAATAGTTTCAGAAGACAAGTTTGCAGAGACAGAGAAATTACTAAACAAATTAGCAGAGAAAAAAAAGGTCTTAGCTCAAAATTTAGCTGTAATAGCAGGAAAAATACAATCATTAAACAGAGCATTTATCTATGCCAAGGTTCATTGTCTAGAATTCTATTCATTAATAGATGCAACCAAAAAAAGAATATGAGAATAGGACTCTATGGTTCATATAACAGAACAAGCATGAGAAAATGTAAGATGGGTGGCTCAAAACTTAAGAAACAAAATGGATGTCTAGTCTGGAAGCCATCTAAAATAAAATAGTTATTTGTCAATGCTTTGACAATAGGTTGGATAGCAATTTTCAAAGAACACAAGGCCTTCAGGAATAGAACTCAAGAAAGTCACATCAAAAGATCACTTAATTATAAGCAGAAGTAGTAATTTTGAAAATAAAATTATTTGCCAAGCTTCTAGAACACTCCTAGATCGATTTGCATATTGACAATTAGGGTGCTATTAGCACAATAGTAAGAGAAGGCAAGCTTTTGTAGCAGAAAAACCTGTTAAGAAGACTTTGGGTTCAATTGAACAAGTATGATATATGGATTAGTGAGGTTTTTTAAATCCCTTCAGAATTAAACCTAGCAAATACTCTAACTAGATACATTAACCTCAATGATTAGTGCTTAGAACAGTCAGTTTTCGAGCCTATAGAGAAAAAATAGGAATCTCATACTATTAATTGTATAACTAATCACCAAAATTCAAAACTTCTACACTTAAACAGTCATTATTACTACTTTAACTCAGAGGGAATAAATTGTTTTACTCAGAATTGGAGAAAAGAAAACAACTATGTATGCCCTTCCTTAGGCCTTATATATCATGTACTACAACACATTATAGAGGAAAAAGTAGTAGCAACAGTAATAATTCTCAGATGGGTCTCTGCAGATGGTAGCCAACTCTGTTGCACAACAAAACAAACTTTCTAGTTTAACATCTCTTCAAAGTGCATTTGTAAGAGGTTTTTCAGGCAAAGTAGAACTATGAAAGAACTCCAGTTGGCAGTTCCTAACAGTAAAAGTAGATTAATTAGTATGTTACTTGTCAGAGCTCAGACCTTGCATAGGAAATCAGTATCTCAAAACTGGAATTAGCGTTTGAATAAAGCTTGAAGTTTATATAAATATTACTGTAATTTAATGAGTTTAGAAGCATTACTATTTAAGGTAAATACACTTCTTTTCTTCATTATTTGGCTTGACCTTTGTAAATTGTATGGATGTTTTGGCTACAGTTTCAAAGAAGCATCTAGAGGCACAGCTTTTAGACCTATCTAAGACTATAAAGTCAAAAAAGTTTTTAAAACACTCTTAAAAGAATATAAGAAGGACAAAGAACCTAAATAGCCATGTGACCCTCTTCTCATTTATGCATTAAAATGCTTTGTTAACAATAAACCTCAATTTATTAGTAAAGAGTTCTGGATTCATGATGCAGCATTAATAGATATAGGTTTAAAAACCATGTGACACTCTTGTGAGCTAAGTAAAATAAGACTTAGAGATATTAAAATCAGAAAGAAATTGTACTGGATCTGAATAGTTTCTTTTAAAATTGATCAATTTAGCAATGAGAAGTTTATCTCTATAGAATACTTAGATAGCTATTACTGCTTAGTCAGATTACTAAATAAATATTTACAAATAAGACCAAAAACCATGAATAATAAGCCTTTTTTTTGTCAAAAAGTAAAAGACAGCTTACAGTTGGGGCTATAGAAGCTATTGTTAAGCGAATCACCAAAAATGCAGATATTCAGAGCCATTTTATTGCACATAGCATCAGGATTGGTAGTGCTACAGCTGCTATGAAGGCAGGCCTATCTTTTATGCAAATTTGTGCAATAGGTAGTTGGGATGGCAAGGCAGTAATGTTATATTTAAGATCAGTTAAAATTGATAAATTACAAATTTCTAGAAAAATAAGTTTTTATTAAAATGATTCTTTTTATTTTCTCATATATTATTTTGTCATTTTATATATATTAATAAAGTATCTGATCAAGCAATAATAATGAGAAGCTTGTTAACAAAGTGACGAAGCAATTATTATTGTGAGATCAGATGACTTTATGATAGATCATATGCAATATTTATATATGTATCTCTTATGGAGTAAGTCATTTTTATGCCTTGTATGTACCTTGTTGGATTCAAGTATTTTTAAGAGTAATGCCAGGATAACATATGAATATTTGAAATTGGTTATCCATGAATTGAGATTAAGCAGAAATTATGTTTTGTAAGCTAAAAGAAGAATAATAGAGTTTATATGTGAATTACATATAGGCTAGAGAGAGTTAATAATTAGTTTAGAGATAATGTATTTAAGTATTGATTTTGAGTAGATGTTTTTATCTTTCTGTTTGCTATTGCTCACTCAGTAGTTAATTACCCTTCCAACCCACCTGGCTTAAGACAGAAATTTCTTAAACTCCTTAGTTGCAAAAGCAATACAAGGACTTATTCTAACAGGCTTCACAGCTGCAGGGCAGTGCAAGAACCTTGTAATATGAATATAGATCTTGAAGTCCTTAGGAAATAGGTAAGTTATTAGGCTTCAAGGCTGCAATAGCAGTGCAAGAACCTTGTTTTTGTAAGTTTTTAGGCTCCAAAACTGAATTGCAGTGTAAGAACCTTATGCTATTTAATATTTTAGCTCCATAGCTGCATTTGCAGTGCAAGGACAATTTTTATGTTAATTTTCTCCATAGAAGTTAATATGCTGTCATACATCTCACTATGATTGATTCTCGTCATAGCTATTCACAAAGAAACTCCTGAGTTTAGAATTCTATTTTATTGCAACTAAATATGTAATTTAGTATAGTTAAGGTTTATTTTATTGCAACTAAATATGTAGTTTGGTATAGTTTAGGTTTATTATAGTAAACTTATTTTTCATATGTTACTTCATTGTTTTATATATATTAATAAAGTATCAGATCAAGCAATAATAATAGTTCTTTTTTGATATAATGATAATGTGATAATCAATTTTTATAATATAATATATAATGATATTAAAATCATCAAAGGTAAATAATATAAAAATTTTTTGATATATACATAATTGCAGAATTGAGTTCAATTATTTTTTAAAAAAGTAGCATCACAAAATGTTAATACAAGAATTAAATTGAAAGATGAAATTAATTCTAATTTAATAAACAAAAATACAGAATTTTATAATGATCTTACTTTATTTAATAATAATTGAAATATTAACACAACTGAGAAGTTGCAAGAACCTAATAATCAAGATATATTAGTGTTTTTTATATAGTAATAAACATAAAAATATATTAATATAGTAATAATAATCTGTTAAGGTATATATTAATTAAATCTTTATTTAAAATAGCATTATAAACTTTTAATGTAGATGATGGTTAGAACACTGATATAATAGGTGAGTTACAAGAACTTAATAATCAAGATATATTAATATTTTTTTTTAAATATCAATATATTTATAATAATAATATGTATATAGCAATTATAATTTTTTAATATATCGATTGTTTATATATTGATAATTAAATTTATTTAAAAATAATACTATATACTATTAATGAGTCTGATGATGATTGGAATACTGATACAATAAATGTGTCACAAAAAATGGATTTATTAATAGTAAGTTAAATAAGAATTATATTATTTTATAATAATACAACTTTATATATTTAATAATTTTATATTATATTAATATATAATATTTTAAAAAGTGAAATTTTGATCATTAGTCAAATTCTAGTTTTTTTATTACTAATGAATTAGATAATGCAGATAATGTAAGTAAAACAAAGTATAATATTTTAACAAGTTAATAAATAACTAACATTTTATTATATATATAGCAATTTTTAGAAATTATTCAATTAGGAAGCTATAATAATAAAGAAACTGCAAGGCAAGTAAAATATTGATTAGAATTTGAAGAATATCAAAAAACAGCTTCAGAAGGTGTTGCTCACATCTATAATATTTCTAACATGGATTTGAAAAAAGTAAATAAAATATTTTATCTTAAAAACATACAATATTCTTATAAAGATGGAACAAGTTACAAT